AAAAATAAGGGCACTATTCTTTCTACTAATCAGTTTGATTTACGTTGAAAAGAAAATTCGCTTATTAAGATTGACTGAGATCCCGTGGAGCTTTCCAGGAAAACTGTTATGATTTCAACGAAACCGCGGCGCCCCCCGGGGGGTTACTTGGGTTAATTTTTGCTAGGTATGTGCCGTTGGCCTCTCAGAGCCCCTACCCCATCATAGTCTATTCTGTGGCCAATTGTAGACCCCATATTAGTCACTTTTGGGCAAATATGTAATTTTTGCGATCCCAACTTCCAAATAGGTCATCAAAAAATGAATTGCCTCATTGAATGAAGAACACTTTACTTTTCACCTACATTACAAATATCCTGGCACGTTTGCTAACCGTAAATATGAATGACTTTCTTACCCCAAAAATCCGAAAATGTGCGACCCCATTCCAGTAACTCTTTTGAAAATGCAACCCCACTATAGTTAATCCAGTCGTGAAAATGCAACCCCCATCCAGCGGCACATCCCCATTAGCCTCTTATACGGAAGTGTCCCCCCTCCGGGCCGCCCCAAAACTATTATCTCTTTTGAATAGACAATCTCGTTGTAAAGTCGTCGTTTAAGCGCAGAACGGAAGTATTTTCTTTCTATATTATCGGTGAAATGCTCAGGACAAATGAGCTTTTGTGTATTAATTTTTAGTACGTGATACGTAAAGCCTTGCCACGACACGAAAGACAATGGGGGATTTTATAGATTTATACCCGATTCTGAAACAATCACAATAATAGTCGTCTGTTTTCTTTTTTATACATCGTATTTTACTGGAACAACAATCTTAGTTATGTTTTAGCCTCGCAGACACAGGAGTGAAAAAAAAGGTAAAAATATTTTAATTAACATAAAAGAGCGACTCCCGTGTTTATTCAGCGATTTTGCTAAGTACAAAACTATTGTTTTGCGTCGCCGACCGTACTTTACCCGTCAGAGCAAACGTAACAATTTGTTTAGAAAAACTAACTAATGAACCATCCTAATTTGAAGGAAAAATTTCAATGTTATTATGAAAAGCTGTTACTATCGAAAACTGTGCAGCTTGTCACGTTCATAGTCAAGGATTATGTTANGATTGACTGAGATCCCGTGGAGCTTTCCAGGAAAACTGTTATGATTTCAACGAAACCGCGGCGCCCCCCGGGGGGTTACTTGGGTTAATTTTTGCTAGGTATGTGCCGTTGGCCTCTCAGAGCCCCTACCCCATCATAGTCTATTCTGTGGCCAATTGTAGACCCCATATTAGTCACTTTTGGGCAAATATGTAATTTTTGCGATCCCAACTTCCAAATAGGTCATCAAAAAATGAATTGCCTCATTGAATGAAGAACACTTTACTTTTCACCTACATTACAAATATCCTGGCACGTTTGCTAACCGTAAATATGAATGACTTTCTTACCCCAAAAATCCGAAAATGTGCGACCCCATTCCAGTAACTCTTTTGAAAATGCAACCCCACTATAGTTAATCCAGTCGTGAAAATGCAACCCCCATCCAGCGGCACATCCCCATTAGCCTCTTATACGGAAGTGTCCCCCCTCCGGGCCGCCCCAAAACTATTATCTCTTTTGAATAGACAATCTCGTTGTAAAGTCGTCGTTTAAGCGCAGAACGGAAGTAT